GACAGCAGCGCTCCGTGTGCTCTCCAATGTGGGAGCCGCGCGTGCAAGGCACAGCAGTCACCCGACACACTGGATGAAGGCCTCCCCAAGTCGTGAACGTCTCTCACGGTTCTACAATGAAACCATCCACTCGGCACCTGGACATGAGCCGAATTCATCCCGCCAATCCTTCTTTGACCATTGGCCATCATCCCCTTTGGAGCAGTGTCCTACCGAAGCCCACTTACTCCTCTTAACGGTATTATTAACATTAGATCATCGATTACCAGAAGATTATCGATTATCAGAAGATCATCGATTATCAGAAGATCATCGACTAATTATCCAGTGGCTTTGGGGAGGACACCGGATATTCAAAAACGCCGGATATATATAATCACTCTTAAATCATAATTTAAAATATTTTATTTTTGCACATTCTTGTATGACATGTTGTTAGGTGTTGGATTTTTTAAAAGTGTTTTTAATAATTTTACTTCCTGAAATTGGCATAAATAAACATACAAATAGACACAAAGAAACAAGCTACTGGAAAAAAGTCACTGTATTTACCGAACCACTCCAATCTCCAAGACTCTGCGTCACGGGGTGATGTAAACACGTGCAGTATTTTCATTGTCGAAGTAGTATGTAGTGTATAATGCACCGTATTTAATATTTGACACTGAAATCAAGCATGGCTACTTTGTTTTTGTCACGCACGCGCTGCCGGTGGCCGCAGCGGTGTTGCCGGGTTCGCCGGATCGGCCCGGGACCACAGCCGGATAATGTCGGAAGCAGCCGGATAATTGATGATCAGCTGTAATGATGTCTTTAACCTGCACGTGTTCCCCAATCCAATTGTTTACCTCTCTCTCTCTCAAAGGAGGCTATTACAACCGACATAATGATTCATAAGTCGTTTCTGTTGGGTTAGATCGTGTACGCGTGATGTAAATTGCATTCAAGTATAACCGTCCACCACCCGGCAGAGCCGATCGAATCAATTTGTCACGTGGGCAAATGTGGCAATGGATTTGGGTTTTCAGCAACACCGGAGGAATGTTAAAATGCAAGCGAAATTTTTTGGCAATTTTGCGCACGGCTTCTCGCTGGAGATTGGCGCAGGGCGTAATCTCCAGCGAAGCGTTGTGCGAACTTGACCCGGGGAAGCATCGCGGATACTCCATCAGGAGGATCCTGAATTGGAATGTTCGGCAACACCAGGTGCTTGGATTGTCATCGCAATCCCTCGCGGCCCCGTGACAGCAGAGTCAGTCTCGCTGGAGAACGCTATTGGACATCTGGCGATTCTGTATATAATCTCCAACAATCAAAATGCAACAAAATGTGCCCGCACGCAACCTCGTCTCTTCGCTCCATCCCTGCGGTGGACATCCCCTCATTTGGATGCCACCCCGTGGTTCATCTCGGCCACCGCCAGCGACGGCGTATCGTGACGAAAGGCCGCTTTCTTTTTTTTTGCGTCGATACGACGTCCCTACCCTGCGTTTGTCGTCTCTCCGATGTTACGAGTTCCCCTTTCTGTCCTTCGACGGCGATCCCAAGCAGGGCGCTTCGTTTCCCCGGCGTGCGCTACCGATCCGTGCGCGAGGTCCGCGTCATTGAAAAAAAATTCATCTTTTTTGGTTCTTTCGGTAAAGTCACGTAGAATGAGAATAAAATAATAAATTGATAAAATAAAATAACACAATAATATTCTCACGACGTTTCGGCCACAACACAAGCGGCCTTCATCAGGTGAAGGGACGAGACTGTCTGGTAGGACAGAGCTGGAGTGAAAGAGCCACGTTCAGATGACGACACACAGCTTAAAGGTCGTGATCTGAACGTGGCTCTTTCACTCCAGCTCTGTCCTACCAGACAGTCTCGTCCCTTCACCTGATGAAGGCCGCTTGTGTTGTGGCCGAAACGTCGTGAGAATATTATTGTGTTATTTTATTTTATCAATTTATTATTTTATTCTCATTCTACGTGACTTTACCAAAAGAACCAAAGAAGATGAATCATTGCAGTCACGAAAGCTTTAAATCGAAATGGAAAAAAATATTAACAGGCAGGGAGATCTCTGCAGTCCCTTTTTCTTACTCCTCAAACCTCAATGACCTCAACTGCCCGCCAAAACGAGAAGAAGGAGGGAAAAAAATATGTTTAGTTTTCTTGAGTCCATGGGGGAACGTGCTTTAGTATGAGCATCAGTCACTCACGCAGGGGCCGCCAGCCACTCACAGCCAATGTTTGTATAAAGATTCTGCAAAAGAATGTATGCAACAGGCCGGTGGAAGATGTTCTTGTTAATATCATGAGTAATGAACGCGATTGCATTCGACCAGTGAAGACGCGTCAAATTCGGTTTGGTTACCGTTTAAAATTCTTGTTCGTCTCTGTATCCCTTGCTGCTAATGTCACTTTTACCGACCACGGCAGACTTATTTTTGTAAACATAGAATTATAGTTTTTCACGCTGCTATAACGGCAAAGTATTGAGCTCTCCCTCCAAAGTCAATATCCCAGATAAACACTCCTGAAAAAGCGTGGGTAAAGAAGCAGCGGAACCTATCCCCAAAAAGTAAAATATTTGCCACGTTAACTGAAAACACAGCAACGCTCCAAATATAAACGCAACCTGGGAGAGGAAAAATAAAAATCTGCCTTGAAAACAAATAAACAAGAAAGCTCCAACAAAATCTTGTTCTCAACAACAACGCTTCATGAACAACCGCCGCTGACATCCCACAAAGTTGTCCTCATTGCATTGACCCACGGAAAGATGCACTGTGATACCCCTCCTCCTCCTCGCTCCACCTCCCCAATTTGGAATTTGAATTTCCAACTTTCCCATTGCAAGGCCGGAACTCTGCCACGGGGCCCACCCAGTCTAATCAATGGCGGCTGTGCGACGGACAGACTGGCCCCTGCCATTGGGATGCGGAATTTCCACCGTTGGATCAGAGGCGTCAACAGAGATCCGATACCACCACTATTTGCTCGTTTAACCAATCCGCACCGATCATCGATGTATTGATAATGCACACTGATCATAATAATAATTTACTGTTGTAAGGTGGATGGAAAGCCGGCAAGTGAACAGAACCTGCAGGCGACACTGCCAGAACTCGGTGGTAGATTCCAGCTTACAGAGGTGAGTTCTCAAGACAGCACTGAAATAGCTCTAACGACTCTGTCTTATTAGCGAGGACAAAGCGTCCCAAATCCTGGGAGCTGCACTGGCATAAAGCGCCGGTCATCCCAGAAAGCCCTCCCCGAGCACGGTTGGACATGTATGTTGTATGGATGTATGTCGAACCTCAAATGAGTACTTGGTGCGATGTGTGAACGTCGTCACTGGGGATACAAAGGCGGCCACGTGTGGTGCTGGCCACCCACCCCCTCGTGTGCCTTGCCGGCCTTCATTGGTGCTCGTTAACGGCACTTGCCCCAACAGTCTGTTAAGGCTACACGGGGGATCTTTGCATGCATGTATGCTGTATGTATGTTGAGCTTCTTTCGCACTTTACGTAGTCAAACCGCACTAACCGGAAGTGCAGGGGGAAGAACAACAAACGACACGCAAAAAGCAGTTGTAAAGAAATGAGTTTTCAATCTTGCTTTAAAAGTGCACAGCTCCAGTGGCTTCCTAATATCGGAAGGAAGAGCGTTCCAGACGGCCGCAGAAGTGCATCTGAAAGCGCCGCGCCATGCGGTGACCGTAGTTGCATGTTGGCGTGGGGGCTTGTTTGACCATACTTCACCACGCTGGTCGGTGTGGGTTTGATGAAGCAGTGGCGGATGCCCAGCACCGGCTTCAGACGTCACTCGCCCACAGATGTTCGCCGTGGGACGAAAGCAAACACGGCTTGCCCGGCTCATGGCACAAGTGCCCGACCCACTGGGCCGCTGCTTCCCCCGTAGCTGTGGAGCGTGTTGCAACTGTTGCCACACTTTCACAAGACGTAATAATAATAATGTATTTACTGCCTTTTGTCTCATCCAGTGATGGATAAAGTCCTCATCGCATGGGGGTTTTTGACCATGCCTCACAATGGTCGGTGCAGGTTGGTACAGGAGGTGGTCTGACGGAGGCCTCTGACCTGTTCAGATATCGCTCGCCACTGATGTTAGCCGTGGCTGGGAATCGAACTCAGGTCGCCGTATTTATCGGACAGTGCCCTAAACCGCAGTTCCACCACTCCATTATCCGCTCATCCACTCGTACAGCAATGCGATTAGGCAGCCGTTTGACCGTGTAAAGTTGAAAGGAAGCCAATATTACAGATACACTGTACCTGTGTTTGTTATTTCTCCAAAATCTTTGAGTGATCTTCACGTGGCAACAGAGCAGAAACAGTTTAAAGAATCACGGCTGAGCAGATGGGGAACACCTCTCAGTGTCATTTGCCAACACCGTGGCAGACCCGCGAGGATTCAGAGAGATGAGACTCGTACGGTTGAATCTTCTTCGTACCCTGTGCGAGTGAGTTTCACTGACGCACCGTACCTAGCCAACTGGGCTAATCGGAGGTGCGGGGGAACGAAAGAGAAAAAGCAGTTCTAAACAAATTAGTTTTCAGTCCGGATTTAAAAGTGCAAAGCTCCAGTGACGTCCTAATATCGGAAGGAAGAGCGTTCCAGACGGCCGCAGAAGCGCACCTGAAAGCGCGCCATGCAGTGATCGTCTTTTTTAATGCACACCGTAGATTCATGAAGACCATACATTCCATCATCATAATCAGGCACAGTCCATCCACTGCTGGATGACGGGCCTCCAAAAGCCCGGCACCACCCTCTCACGATCCTGCGACGCGGCGATCCATCGAGCACCCTGCAGACGAAGTGGCTTCACCGCTCCATCTCCTCCGACCACGGTCGTCGACCTCTCGGAGGCGTTCCGTTCGTCGCACAACTCTATCGTGCGCACGTTCTCTTCGTTTAAGATTAATAATTTTAAGCAACAACAAATAGCAAGCTAAATCCGTTCCATTGTCCACGCGGCGTCTCACCGTTGTGCAGGGCTCTGTAAGCCAGCGCCTCGAACTCCTCGAAGTCGTCCAAGAGGTAGCAGTGTTCGCTCGCAGGTGCCGAGGCCATCTCGCCGAGCCCGCGGACGTTCCCGCTCGTGACGCCGACGGTGAAGACCTCGGCCCCGCTTGCTCGCAGCGCCGCCGCCGCGCCCCGCGGGTCTCCGCCGCCCCCCCAGTGCCCGTCGCTCACCAAGAAGACGGCCGCCTTCGAGTCCTCGCCCGAGTGCCGCAGGATTTCCTGCGGGGCGAAAAACCGCGGCGGAGATCCGCGGCGCGGCCGGCAGACAGCGCGGGCTACGCACGCGGTGCCAAAGACGTTCAACGTCGCGTGCAGCCACGTGCACCGTCAGAGGGGCGATGCTTCGACTCACACCACTGCCTCGGCTGCCGTGGTACCGAGAAACGTCGCTCCTCCCTCGCATTCGTAGCGAGGAGGCAGTGGCCACGACGGTGGAGGAGATCGTGCGGATACGGCGGGTCTCCCGCTCCACCTGGCCCTGTTCGAGGCCCGCTTGTCAACGAGTCATCATCGCGCGTGGACTGAAAGTGCCGGCCACGCTGGGACCCGTCGGTGTGACGCCAATGTTGGCGCGATGAAGGGTCTCACCTAACGGGTTCAGAACCACTTCCTGATCGCCGACCCACACCGTTCAGCTCTCCTAGCTTTTGATCTGTCAAGCCTCTGTCATGGGTTCTGCTCACGATGGCTATGAGATGTTAACTACCTTGCCTGGTATACAGGAGGTAGTGGGTTCGATCCCGACCCTGATGCCTGTATATTTTGAGTTTGCACGTCTTTCTCCCCCCGTGGTCCCGTGAATTTTTTCCCGGGTCCACCGGTTTTTCTCTCCACATTTAGAAACACGAGCTTAGAGTATTTGGCTGCTATACATTTCAACATGATAAGTCAATTCGTTGAGCTATCATTTGTGGCCAGGTCTCTTATGAAAAAGCGCCAGACAGCTCAGTGGGCCTTACCGGGTAAAATAAAAGGAAAATCCTCATGTTTCCTTGTTTCAACCGGTCCCTTACTGGCCAGAGTCTATCTGCAGGCAACCTTCCTCTACACCTGGGGAAGACGTGGACCACGGCCTGCCCTGTGGATGCGGTCAGCGACAGACCGTGCGGCGCACTGCCAACTGGTGCAACCTGGCCCGGATTCCGAGACGGTGGTCTTAAGGCCCTCTCTTCACCCTGCTGAAGAGGCAACTGTTGCCTGGCTCAGCAAGATGAGCAGAGATAATAATAAAGCATAGTTAATCAAAGGCCTTACAACTTATCTGGACGGAGGGCTTTCATTTAGAGCTATCGATATGGTGTTGAGAGTCATCAATATGTTTCAATTTACAGTTTGGAACCAGAGGTCAAAATTCCATACTCTTATGGCAGAGCCAGTCACCCCACAGCACACAATTGCATCTTCCATTTGCACAGATTAAGAATGCCAAGTAGCGATCAAAAGTCAAATCGACTCCCAAATGAGTAAAAGGGGCCAGTCACACCACAGCACAGCCACCAAGCGGCACTCGTCAATAAGTGGTTATGAAATGGGTCGAATACAAAACATAACATTAGTGGGGGTGGGGGGGGGGTGGGTCGCAATCCAAATGTTGTTTTACTTTTGTGTTTGCTGTTAATCCGAAAAAAAAAGAGCCCATCCATGCCAACACCACGCCAGTCCTCCAAGAGACCGCAACAAAGCGGGGAAGCACGTCCGGCGTACCGCGAAGCGACGCACGTGTTTCGCGTTAGGTCTGCGCTTGACGCGCTTGACGCCTGCCTTACCGCCGCCTGCAAGAGGGCACCCTCGGTGCGCGTGCCGCCACCGCCGCCGCTGAGGCCGACGCCAGGGCCCTCGGCGTGCGCCCGGGGGCACTCGTGCCGCTGGCACCGCGGGGGCGAGACGCGATCCACGAGCGGCGTGGCGTCGGTCCTGGACGAGAACGTCACCACGGCCACTCGGGCGGCGGAGGCCGCCGCGGGGACATCCGACAGCAGCTTCTGGACGCGCCGAAGCTCGCCGGCGAAGTCCGCGGCGCTCACGCCGGACGACTCGTCCAGCAGGAAGACGAGCTCCAGGCTGCGCCCGCTGTCCCGCAGCCGCCGGACGTTCGCGGCGAACCTCTCGGCGAGTCGATCCGCGCGTTCGTCCCCGGAGCGCGCATCGCCGGGCGAGGCGGCGGTCGCGGGCTCCGCCGCCTGCCGCCGCAGCTTGGCTTGCCGCAGGAGGCTGTCCCAGCCGGTCAGCTCGGCGGTGGTCAGCGTGAGCGCGAGCATCAACGGTAGGACGCTCCACATCTTCAGCCACTGCGCGCGCACGGTCGCGTCCGCATTATATCGCCTTGAGGTCCGCGGCAGAGCCCACAGAGCCGTGCCGCTCTGTCCCAGACTCGGCGTGTAACTGGTGAAGAGGCATTGCGCTGGAGGAGGGATATTTCTCCCTCGGGAGGACTTTTGTTTACTCTACCTGACTGAATGAACCCAGGGAGAGAGAGAGAGAGCCTTCCAGAAACACTGGTTCCTTTCACAGTGCAATGCTTCTTGCAAAGCATCTCATGGTGAGAAGTCTTTGATATTTTTTTAAGATATACACACACACATGGAAATACCAAAAAATACTCCAGCTTGCGGCTTTTGGTACCGCGCCTTCATGGAAAACACAATTCGATTGCTTTTCTCGAATTCCTCACACTGAGCCAACTCCTATAATCCATTCCATATGCTTAGGCAAGCAGTGGACAACGATGTGTAAACATTAGCTAATTCCAACACGCACCGCCCGTCCAAAGTTCCGAATTAAAAGACGTCAAACGGCATCTCGTTAAAGAACGGCCTCCGAAGAATCGAGCAATATTTTCACGGCGATGCGGGGGCGGAAAAGAAGTGGCACACGTGTTGAGCGTCATACGTTAATACGAACCATGTTACGGCACGCAGAATTCCACCGCGCTGCTCTGGGAAAAAAAAAGTTTTCAATGTCGGTTAAGAGCCTGGTTGCGGCAAAACAAATTTTTCATTAAAATAAACCGAAGTACTAAATGGCACACGCAGGCAGCTTCATATTTTCACCACAGCGCCAGTGGCACGCGCACGCGCGACTTGTGACATGCGCGTGCACCCCACGTGCGTTCCTATGCTCGCCTCGACCTTCAACCAGACCCCTCTGGCCAGCGTGGTGAAGTATGGTCGCGATGACCACGTGGGGAGGGCCTCATCCAGCGGCGCACTGACGAGGGCAGAGTTCACGTGCGCCGTGCAATGTGACCCCAACGGTGTGGCTTGCTTCTTTGTGACGGCACCTGCGATCACACCGGACTGATGTGGGAATGACAATGTCCTTTCTTTATCAAGCGGAGAGGTTGTGTCACAGAAAAGTATGGCAGTACGTTTTGCTGTGACGAATGTGGGAAGGTTGCGTCATTCATGTTGTTAGCATTCTCCACAGGCACAACCGAATAATTAGGTTGTGTAATGTGCAGTATTAAATAGTTTTGCGTTAACATTCGAATCCCCTTTGTCTTACAGAAAAAGGCCATAAAACACCGTGCGGATCAGCAGCATTGATTGAAGCAAGCCTGACTGCTGATGAGCCACTACATATCGAAACCGGTCCACAGTTTTCTTGCTCCGAGACCCAATGCTGCTTGCTAATCACAATGATTATACGCGCTTCCGAGCAGGGCCTTGTAATTGCGTCAAGAAAATAGTCTTAAGTGGTATTTTGTTTATCATCAGATGACGGCGAAGGGTCGAAGTGTCGTCATTCGTTTCGTTCCGAGATGTCCTCTCCACGCCGCTTACCGAGCGGTGGTTCTCTCGTGCCGAAGCGATCCCCACCGTTTGCGTGTCGCGATGCACACGAGCCCGGACACAACAAAAGGGCCCTCAGTGTTGAGTCTCGGATGAGACGCGTTCCGTGGGGCCACCACATTGAAACAATTAGGAGCCGTACTGGGTTGTTTTTTTTTCTCGCGGGCGGAATGCAAGCCACGTGCCGAGGGCGGTGAGGGGGAACAAAAAAAATCACAAATTTCACTCACTGCCTCGGGTTTTTTTTTCGTTCGTACGTCAAAACATGACGCTGGAATTTAAATGTCACATTTCAGACAACTTTTATGAACGACTGGGTGTTTAAGGTTAGCGATTTGTCGTATTATCTGGCTGTATAGCAAATGAAAAAAATAAAAAAGATTACTGTGCAAGCTACATGTGTGTGTTGTAATATTTGCGTGTTTTTAAATGTAGGGCCCCTTTATAACATTATGCTACAGGCCCCGCACGAGCTGAATCCAGCACTGGTTGCAGCGCTGCGGTCTGGCCACTCGGATCCATTTCAAGACTTCCGGCCAGCACAGCAGAACGAGCCAGATGCCCTGTCGGAAGCCCTTCAGCCAGCAGTAGCATTAACGAGAAATTGCAGGGCTGCGCCTTTATCTTTCACTGCTTAGTGTTGTCCCCCCGCCCCCCATTAGCACGGTTGACTACTGCGTACGGTGCGAAAGAAGCTTTTGTTTAATATAACCGTCGCTCAAACTGCTGAGTAAATGATAACGACCCCTGGATGACATCGCCTGTGGGCTGCTCTGTCGCGACGCGGCACGTTGCTGTGCTTCTTGCAGAGAGAGCCGAGGGTCGGACAGCGCCGCAGGAGCGGAAGGAGCATTCACAAACTATTTTTATTTTACCAGCTGGCTATGTGGCTCTTTCTCTCACAGGCCACCTGGCTACCACAAATGATAGCTCACCGAAGTGGCTTTTTATCATCACGACGTGGACATGCACAGCAGCCTAATACTCTCAACGCGTGATGTTGATTCGACTTGATGTGGGGCCGAAAAACCGGAGGACCCGGAGAAAAATCCACGCGAAACACTTGGGGGAGAGAGAGAGACACACACACACGCACACTCCAAATATACACCAGGCATCGGAGTCGGGATCGAACCCACGGGCCTCCTGTATACCAGGAAAATCAGTCAACATCCTGTAGCCACCGTGGATTTGAGGGGTAGGCGAGGGGGCGTCGGGCGTTCAGCGGGAGTTGGAGCATTCAAGCGAAGGGGTGAATCTCCGTCATCCCAGTGCCCAGGGAGGTCCTGGCACAGGAGGGGAAGTAATTCAGTAACTGCCTTGGCACGCGCAGTGAGGAGAAACGCGCGGAACGCCCCGTTGCGCGGATTCGCGCTTTGGAACTTGCTGTAAGTCTGTCTGCTATAAACTAAACTATAAACTACAGTGTTTTACTTTTTTATCTTACCAGGTAAGGCGCACTGAGCTACGTAGCTCTTTTTCAGAAGCGACCTGGCCATCACGCATGATAGGTCGACGGAGTGGGGTCGGCGTGCTGTGGATAATTATAGCGGGCAGATACTCTGGACGCGTGGATGTTCGTTCTAAATGCGTAGTTTTAAAAAACGGAAGACCCGGAGAAAAATGCCACACAATCACGGGGAGTGAGAGAGACGTGCAAACAGTGCCGGATTAAGTGAGTGTGGACCCTAAATATAAAAACACAAATATTACAACACAAATTTGTAACTTGCATAGTCAAGTGATTGTATTTTTTCATTTGCTATACAGACAGATAATACGACAAATCACTAACCTTAAACACCCAGTCGTTCATAAAAGTTGAAGGCAGTATAGTACTATAGTAATAGAGCAAGTGCAGAATCACTGAACCAGAATTGATAGCTTGAAAGCATTTAGCGCAAGGCCCCTGAAAGTGCGGGGCCCGTAGCATATGTAGCTACTTGTGCTACTAGGATAATCCGGCACTGCATGCAAGCTCCAAATATATGGTCGTGGTCAGGATCGAAGCAATGACCTCCTGTATACCAGGCGAGGCAGATAACATCTCGCCACTAGGGCACCCTACAGCGAATGGCAGGACATTCAACAGGCCACTCACTTCCGCTTCCCCGATCTGATCATGGTCAATGACAGTGTCGGTCTGTTCTCCTTTAATGCCGCGTTGTTGTGACACGCGAATCGGATATAACGCGACACATGTAGTAGGGGACACATTCTTTTTATAACGCGGATGCGAATTGGATGTCACGCGATTAAGTGAACAGAACTTCGTCGTGCGAGTTGGAATAAGCGGTTGTACGGCTTCTTTGGCGTAGCATCATCACACGAGACGGGATGCTGCTGGATACTTCGATATGCTGCCCACGTACCTCAGTGTTTGTTCGGCCTGCGTACGCGTCTCACGTGTCATCGTGAACTGTGCTGTGCCCTGTATTACATTTTATCTATAATAACGCGAATTTTCCATAACGTGGTGTTCTTCAGGAACGTAACCACCGCTTTATAGAACAGACTGCGTCAAGAGAACATGCCTTTGGGTCATGCTTCTTGTTTTCAGGGTCACAGGTCATCCGTTTACAATCGTTAAGGACCCCCCTTTGAGATGCTGGACAGGCCTCCGCAAAGCTGTGTGGTCTGGAGTCAAAACCATCCCCTTCTTCACACAATAATGCAGCAGCAGAATCTCCCCAAAACTCCGAACACTATTTTGTACTTCTGTGTACTGATAATTCGAGGAGATTCCAACCGAAAAGAATGTCGGTAGCATGTGGCAGTGAGCCTAAGAGATGCGTGAACGATCTGGACAGAGTCCCATCGCAGGGCTCTGCCGGCAGGTGAGGCATCATTGGCTGGGTCACATCGCCTCTGTATTCCCCACGTGCAGATCTGTCGGTGAGATGTTGGCACAGGAGGAGCTCCAGGTGAGTGCGTGGACTGGCATTGTTGACCGGCCTCTTTGAACGCACGTCAACGATGCTTCTGTGCCCTCAAACAACAGCAACAACAATAGCAACAACAGCAGCAACAACAGCAACAACAGGTCCCCGAAACGTGACGCTCACGGCGATGGGAACACAACAAATCGTCCGAGCTCGAGTCTCAGGGCAGGATGGACGAATTCCATGACGATCAAAGCGACCTTCGTCGCTGCTCCCTTTCTCCCCTGGAATGGCTCCCGTGCGCAAGCTCTCGAGCTTCAAGGGAGATTGCACAGGAATGCAAACACGCAAACGCCTGTTGGGTCCCTCGCCTGCAGGGGCACAACAGGAGGCGCACACACCGGTGCAGTGTTCATAACGAAGGGCGTTGTCGGTCCGGTGTTTCTTTTTTTACCTTCATTTTATTTTGGTCACAAGTCTTCGTCCGGTCAATAACAACCGGTGGAATGTTATACAACATGTGACATATCAGGCAATGGACCGCGGTGGCGAGATGTTAACTACCTCGCCTGGTTACACAGGAGGTCGTGGGTTTGATCCCTATCACGACCCTAATGCCCGCTGTATATTTGGAGTTTGCATGTTCTCCCTGTGGTCGTGTGGATTTTTTCTCCGGGTCCTCCGGTTTTTCCCTCCACATTTAGAATCAACATCACGCGTTTAGAGTATTTGGCTGCTATACATTTCCACGTGATAAGCCGCTTCGTTGAGCTATCATTTGTGGCCAGGTCGCTTCTGAATAAAGAGTTACACAGCTCAGTGGGGCCTTACCTGGTAAATACCAAAAAAATATACAAAAATTAAAAATAATTTCACGGCACATAAATCAAGAATACCATTGCCAGAAACGTAGCCTGTTATGTTATTTAACTTTTAAAAGCCACGGTGGTGTTGACGGACACGTTGGGTTCCGTGTTGTGCTTTTGCACCACTGTCAGTGTAGTGGTGCAAGATAATGAGTGGAGTATTAGTCCACTATAAGTCTTACTCGGTAAGTCTTACTCGGTAAGACTTATGAGTGGACTCTTACAGAGTAAGACTTTTTTACTCTAATAGACTATTAGAGTAGTCCACAAGTCTTACTCTGTAAGAGACTTGTGGACTAATAGACTAACTAATAGAGTAAGTCTTGCTCTGTAAGAGTCCACTCAAAAGTCTTACCGAGTAAGACTTACTCTGTAAGACTTACTCTATTAGTCCGCAACTCTGTAATTACTTACTCTGTAAGACTTACTCTATTGCTCTGTAAGATTTACTCTATTAGTCCACAAGTCTTACACTCTGTGGATTCTCTCTGTAGTCATTCTCTCGGTTACTTAAATGTTTGTGGAATAGGCGATGTAACTCCCCAGCACCCCCCCCCCCCCCCCTCAATATGATCAGGGCAGCAAAGCAGAATCAATCTATTTTAAATAGCTCCACTATATTACCAATTATGTTTGGTATTTCTCTGCACTTCACTCTCTGTTACTCAATGATCTTATTATCTTTAATCAGACTTAATCTCATCGAAGTCAGCATCATTTGATCATTGGTGGGTTTCGTCATGGTCAATCGTCATATTGTATTACTTTCATCCACTCTTAGTTATGGTTCACCAATATATATTAGTAACACTTCATCGGTCAATATTTTGGTAATTATCTGCACATCTGTACACTGACAAAGGTGCATGACCAGGCGTGCAATTCACGGGAAACTGTCAGAATCCACAAACTCGGTATTCATATCCGTTGTTTATGTTTTAATGTTCGGTTTTGCACGACTGAAACAGACGTAAAAAAAATTAACATAAAAATATACGAAATGTATAAACACTTGAACACGTGGTAGTAGTAGGAGGCTTTCGCGACCAATTTTATCCATAATAGAGGAGGTTTCTTTGGGGTTAGATCGCGTAAGTATATAAATGTGTTTTTGAACCCGCAGCCACCCGACACAGCCAATTAGGAAGGTTCGTCAGGTGAACGAAAGGTGCCAATTCGTGACGAGTTCATCGCGACACCGGTGTGTTGGCGAGCCAAATCTGGCTGTCGCCTGATGATGCTGGCTGCAATTACTGGTGGAACGTCGTACTCAAATTGTAAATGTTGTGGATTTACCCTCAAAGACACCGGTTAGTGCTGTACTCGTAAGGATTGGCACGTTCTGTGTACGTGACAAACCTTACTAGTTGGTTGTGTCGGGTGGTGGCGGGTTTAACGACACATTTATATTTAAGTGATCTAACCCCCAAAAAAACACGTATTGATATATAAACGCTGTTTGGTACGAAGCGTACCAAATGCAACTAGGTTTTTATTCGAGTATGCATTATCTACACAAGGGTGCACACACACAAACATTGTACCCAGGTTTCATGATATCTTATCGCAAAGAGAAACGTCGCTCTGCAAAATAACTCATTCTTGAAGACTTTTCTTGCAGTTTCAGTCGTTTAGAGTGGGAAGTTTCAACACCGCACAGAAACACTTTAACTTAATGAACTGGGACACAGACTGATGATAATAATATTAAAATATATTTGCTGAGACTTCAACCACAGCGAGAACTGCCCTCAATGTAACGGTGGGAGCGTCATTCCCTCCCTTCGCTATTTCCCAACCGCAAAGTTTCGATCACGGGTTCTCGTAATCAGTGCACTTTTCACATTGCTGCGATACCAAAGCGTGCAGCGGCCCAGCTCTCAACAGCACAAACAATTCACAGTGCGGCCTACGACTTGCTGTAGATAACATTGTAACGTCGCTGTGGCCTTCCTTCCTTCGCAGCCAGTAGAATCTGTCCTCTTTGGATACATCGATATGACTGGTGCGACTGCGCCCACATTTCGGTACAATCACTGCACTCTGGAAATGTGGCCGTCATTAAATAATAAAGGTGAACGTTAATTAATCAACGGGAAAATAACGGTGCTGCAACTCTCTTCTCGACGAAACCCGCATCTCCAACATTTGTACAGTGCGAAAAAGTTAAATATTGCCGTTTCGTCACAAGATACCTTGCGAAGGTTACACAATGCTCACGCTTAGCAAAATACACCGGGCCTTTGTGAATACTGCCAATGTGAAGTGAGGGAAAAACAAAAAAAACGAGCAGTCGCTTCCAATCAACCCTGCCTGTTGGTCCAGCATCTTGTTTATACATTACAAATATAATATATAGTAAACCACCAGCTTTCTAAAAGCAACTGTCACAATAATTACATTTACAGCGGCGGCACCGACTTTTCTCTCAAAACGAAGGCAGCATTTTCACGCGAGTAAAACAATGTGTGGATGGTGTACAAGCACGCACAGACTATGCCCTTGCTCAAAAGAAAAAAACGCAAAATGTGCTCGATACAAAATTCTGAACGAGTGTTTAGTGGCCCCCAAAATAAGGTGAAATAAATATAGGAATATTGAGCGAAGCTTTCAAAATACGAGAATTTTTTTTTACAATGTTCCTGAAGGACACACACACACAGCCACTTTAACACGAACGCTTACGAGGGTGGCCAAGTCAACACTGTAGTTCGTGTGTGCGGGGGGGGGGTGGAGCCGTCATTTTAACAGAAAGAGAACCAACTAGATACAATGCATCCTCCAGTAAAGCACTGCATTCAAGAAACACTTACGAAGTTAAACATGACTTGTGTAAAAAATATATATTTGAAACAACAGACTTCCAAGAAAAAACTTGCTTCGTGAGCCCAATTAGATATTAGACAACTGATTGATCTTCATCTCACTCGTGGTGGTCACTTGACTGATCGGCGTGACCAGGTTGTGATTCGGCGTGGACGTTGATTTGTCGAAGTTGTCGGAGCCATTGGCGACAACGGCGTTTGCCTTTCGGCAGCACAGGATGCGCTTGAAAGTGGCGACCATCTCTTTGTCCCGAAACGAGTAGATGATGGGGTTCATGGCGGAGTTGAGCTCCGCTATGAGCAAGAAGTACTTCTCAAAGGCCAGGACATTGCAGTCCGAGCAGAACGAATCCAGCAGCAGAATCACGAGGCCCGGCGTCCAGCACACGATGAAGGCTCCTGAGAGACGGTGGCACGAGACACGAGTCAGCAACTTTGGCAGCAACGCACGGAACACAAGACCACCGTTGTTCCCTGAAACCCGCTGTAGGTAAAGGCGCAACCTTGCAATGGCTTGCTCCCCGACTGCTGCAAGGAGGGCCTCCCACTAGAGGGGTGACTGTGGAGAGGCCCTTGAGAGGCTTCTTCTCGCCTGTTGACCAGACGAGTACCCACACTTTACCTCGCCACACCCAGACCTGCCGATCGACAAACCGTGGCTAGACCCCTACGTACTGCCGGGTGGACAGAGGCGGAGGTTTTGTGGGGAGATACAAAAACAAACTTGCCCCGTTGTTTCAACCGCTGTGCTAGAATAGTCGTCGTACAAATGATAATTCACAGGCCTTTGTTAATCGTCTTGTGGGATGAATGCCGGCCCCATGCTGTTGGCCACAGTAGCTGTCCAAGCTTACTTCACCAACAGAGTCAGTGCAGTTTGGTGAAACGACTGGGGAGGTGCAGCACCGATGCTGATAACGACTCGCCACCAACGTTAGCCGTGGTTCGAAATCGAACAGCAGTCGCCAGGGTTCATAGCGCCAGTACGCTAACCACTGAGCCACCGTTTCCCCTGTAGCTGTTCAGCATGTGACATCAGCCATTAATGTTGCCCACAACCAAAATCACCCAGAGAATATTCACCCAATCCCATCAGAAGCTGAGCAGAGTGTTGAGCCGAGAGATGGTGCTTGGTTAGTCGACTTGCCGTGCACGTCAGATTGATGTAGCTTGCCGCGGAGGCTACATGGCGGCCAGTGCAACGATCCCCATTGTTGTACTACACTTTCTATGCTCCCACGTCTACGTTCCCCACCTAGACCAACACACACTGACAAATAACTCCCTACACATGCAGCGGATCAACACAAGGGGCTGTACACACACACACACACGTTCGAAGGCGAATCGTGTTGTCGAATGTGAGCACCCGCCGCCCAGACAGACCCACAGCGCTCACCCAGCATGATGGTGACCGTTATGAGCAAGCTCATGGTGGCCTCCCGCCTCTGGGTGGACTTGGAGGAATTCCGCGACACGGGTATCGTGTTCCTCCACACGTGCACGAAGATGTGGCCGTAGAGTCCCACCATGATCAGAAACGTGGAGAGATTGGAGCCGGCCCAGAAGATGACGTAGCTGGAGCTGTACAGGGGCGCCATGGTGGAGCACGTGCCGATGCTGCAGATGCAGTTCCAGCCCATGCTGGGAATGGCGCCGGTGATGATGGACACGAGCCAGATGATCGCGATGACGACCACGACGCGCCGCTCGCTCATCCGCGTGTGCAGCTGCATCCGGAACACCGTGATGTGCCGCTCGATGGCGATGGCCAGGAGGTTGGCGACGGAGGCCGTGAGGCTCGTGTCTATGAGCCCCTGGCGCAGCATCCAGGTCGGCAGCGACAGCTTGCGAGTGTTGGGCCCCGTGTTGAACATCAGGTAGACGTACGCCGCTCCCGCAAAGAAATCCGCCGCCGCCAGGTTGGCCATGAGGTAGTAGATGGGGTGGTGGAATTTCTTGTTGATGTACACGGCGGACATGACGAGGACGTTGGCCAGCATGATGAAGAGGCACAAGGCGAAGCCGAGCACCATGACCACCGTGCTGCTCACGGTCCACTCGTCGTACAGCGGCTTTCCGCTGTTGTTGTAGAAGAAGGTGATCGTCTCGTTGTGGTGGCACCTGCCGTCCATCTCGTTCTCGCGTTTTGTTTTCTCACAGCCCACACACACCTGCAAAGCGAAGATTATTTAAAGTTAAGAGAAACGTTCCACTTTCGTCCCGAACCAAACGTTTTGAAATGGTCCGATTTAAAAAGAAAAGGCGAATTGAGGATTGTTTTTGCCGTGTAGTCAAGTGACAACGTGACTTATGAGGTGACTATATCGTGCTATGGAGTAGGACTGTTGCCTGAAACATCGCCTGTTACATGTTAAGTCCATGGTGTTTTTATGACGAACTTGTGGAGTTATTATTTTTTTTATTTGTGCTCGAGCACCACTGCCAACGCAGCAGCAGCAGCATCACCATACACAGATTTACACAGCAACAATAACATTGTACGTGATATAATTTGCTGACTATATAATAATTTACAGCTCTCGTGTCGATCCAATGATGGACGAAGGCGTCCTCCACCCCCCCCCCCCCCCCCCCATGCTGTGTCGCTCGAAGGGCCATCTAATAATTGGAATAATTCATCATGCTGGTCAGTGTGGGTCAGCGGCAGCAAGGGGCTCACGACCGGTCCGCATGTCACTCGCCACGGATGTCAAGATGCGTCTGGGGATCGAACCCAGGTTGACCCGGTTCGGAGCGCTGCACGCCACCCACTACCCCACGCTGTATTATAGTACCGGGTCACTGTCGACAATGCATTAACAGAGCTGTGGTTATACAATCACATCTCGATAGCGTTCCTTCTGTGAGCATCACCATCATATACAATGGCACAATGTTATTATATGCACTGGTGTTCGTGACTTATTGTCCTTTGTAATGACCCCCACGGGAATGTGGAATTTCCACCACTGGCTCAGGGTCGCGAATAGAGGTGATTACATCTTGGCACACTGCCTATACATGTACGTACCCATATGTACATGCATAGGCACTCTCGCATCGTACATGTATGCACACGTACAGTCCGCTTCAATCATTCCACCGCTGGACGAGGGCCTCCGCACATCTTGCAGGTCAGATCGAGAGCGATATTTGCCCATACTTCACCACGCTGGTCAGTGGGGGTTGTGGTGAAGGTGTTGGGAGTGCAGTGCACCAGTGGGGTTTTCTGCACTGCCAGCTGCTGCACACAACGCCCACGGCACCTTTCTAGTGCACGTGGCGGTGAGGGGCCCCCATCCAAAGCACTTCCGAGGCTCGTACCTGCTTGGCTTTACAAAATCTCAAAAGACTGGGTGCACTGTGGGTGATTTTAGTCGTAGGCTACTTGGACATTACCACACTTACATTGCACACGTAATTATTCATGCGGCTTGCAATTTAGGAACGAGTGCCACGTTACGTCTTACAATGTCATGATTTATCTTTCAGCTGTCTTCACGTTAGAGTTGGGGACAGACTAAAAGGGGCTTGAACCACAATCGGCTGAGTGGCGAAGTTGAGGGGAGAGAGGAAAGCAGACAGAGAAGTCCATGAGTGTGGTAAAGGTGAGCCCTGGTTACTTTTGGCATTATCATTGGGTAGCAATAACGTGTTTAGTTAATGTCTGGCCCAGCAAAGATATTTGAAAGTCTATGTGTGGCTCGGTGAGGAAAATATCCCCCACCCCTGGTCCTAAATTACGACTTTAGTAACTTTAGGCGCCCCATAACTCTTTCAGCTCTGTTAAAACTGAGAGCCAGACAAAATAATGCATGGCACACCACAAGGAGGAGGGAGATCGTGACAAGGATTGCCAACACAGTGTCACGATGACCTTGCCATTAGACCGGCCATGGGCGATGGATGAACGGATGGAGCAGGATGCGACACACATTGCTGCCCCAACAGATTCGGATGTAAACCAATTGTTGGCCGCCCTGTTGCTTTGTGGGTGAGCGGTATCGGTGAGCAGCGATGACCGGGAGGAGCTTACACGCCGGTGCTGCCAGATCTGGAAAATCAATTTCACAGAACCTATATAAAAAAATATCTCAGCCCGTGACACATCGCTCGATTTTGAAAAAGAGAACAGGGAAATTTGATAACTTTGAATTCCAGCTGTGCAGAAATTTTGCAATAAAAATCTTCTTACCGTTCACCCATAAAAACTCCGATAACATCTTAACGTTTCCGCAAAACGTTCATGTGAAAGGAATTGGCCATATGCCCAAGAGTGCAGTGACCCTTATTCATTGCTTGCTGTTATTCTTATGCACATTTGTTAGCGTGGCACCTAAGTCATGGAACGCCTTGCCACTTGAAATCTGGCAATCAGAGTCGGTAGATAGATGAAAGTCTGCTTGAGAACCCCATCCCTTTAAAGTGGCCTTCCCTCCTTAGTTTGGTCGGTTGCCCCTGGTTCTCTTTTTGTTTCCTGCTTTTCACGCATTGCGCATTGAGATCCTCGGATGGAATGCGCATGATACATTTAAATTATCGTTATTATTTGCCCCATGTGAAACATGTCATTTTAGAGTTCCTCTCTGATATTTGCGTCGGCGCTGCTGTACAAAAACACATTTGCACGCAAAGCGTAACGTCTGTAATAAGTTGCTCTTGCTGGACTGGTCAGCTGGTTCACGTGAATGTAAAAGTCACAGTAGCAATGAGCAGACAGGTTAATGCAGGTTTAACCTGCCTGCAGCAAGCAATGCTATGAGGGTGACCGCGAGGCAGCACCTCCTTCCGAGCACGAAATTATTCTCATATTGAAAATCCACCCCATTTTTTTGTATGCGGCATGGGGCGACGGTGGCCTAAATCTAGCGGTGAAGGAACCCACCCTACTGCTTCTTTCGGCTGTCGACACGGCCAAAAAGCTTCGTTTTCGCGTATGGGCCCGTAGCGGTCCCACACAAGCGATAACCGTGTCCATCCACCGCCAAGTGTCTAATCCTCGCGTCGTCTACTTTGGGAGCGCGAGCCCCACATCGCCAGCGTGTGATACTGAGTGGAAAGTAGACGACATGCATCGCATCAGAGCAGTGAAAGGTGAGCGCTCGTTATTATTATTATTTTGCGTTTATTCAAAAACACTTCAGGTCGTTCGTTAATGTGTGGCCAGAAAAATCGCCCTCCGGTAGGGAACATTTTTCCCAGCCCTGGCCTACGTTATTATGTTGAATGCAAGAAGCCTAACTTTTAATAACTTTGCACGCTCCTTATCTCTCTCTCTCTCTTTTACGACCGAGGGCTGGACAATAAAAGACACTGTACGTAGTAAGCACGTATGGAATCGTTTTTTTTTTACCACTTAAGACAATATTGTGGTAAATAATATCGTTATAGCAACATGAACCACCACAACACTTGCGGTGACATGGGAAGGCAAAAGCCTCCGGGCTAGTGAAAGATTTACAATCTGTGGCACAAAGTGGACGAATTTATGACTCCACACAAAGCTGGCAATACACAACAAGACACAATCCCACTAAGATTGGTGTAACATTATACAGCGCCAGCACACATCGATCAAAGCCGTCGCAATGCGGACTCAATCGCAACCTTGGTCATACACAAAAACAGCGCAAATTTTCGTACGAAACAAATAAGGTCGAGAAAATCTGATGCAGCCCGACAAAATCACAGCTACTGTGCAGAGCAGCAGCAAAGCACAGGCCCGGCTTGAGACAAATGCCAAGCCGGATAGAGACAAACGCATGGCACAAACCCAATGCTACGCGAGACGTACATACGTGGCACAAATGTTACACAAAGCCAACACACAGCTCGACCATAAAGTTAACACAAACTCAAGATGCACCCATCCCAAGAATCTATACAAATCTTGATTTAAAGCTTTCCTGACTGCAGGGATTCATATTCTTGGTTCTTTCGGTAAAGTCACGTAGAAGGGAAACTAAAAGTGTTTTTATTGTTTTATATATTTTTTATTTTATTGTTTCCCACCCTATACAAACCCTACACAATACTACACTCAACACTAACCCATCACAACACTCTATACAAACCCTACAGAATACTAAACTCAAGATGAACCCATCACAACACTCTATACAAACCCTACACAATACCAAACTCAAGATGAACCCATCACAACACTCTATACAAACCCTACACAATACTAAACTCAAGATGAACCCATCACAACACTCTATAGTACAACCCCTACACAATACCAAACTCAACATGAACCCATCACAACACTCTATGCAAACCCTACACAATACCAAACTCAAGATGAACCCATCACAACACTCTATAGTACAACCCCTACACAATACCAAACTCAAGATGAACCCATCACAACACTCTATACAAACCCTACACAATACTACACTCAACACTAACCCATCACAACACTCTATAGTACAACCCCTACACAATACTAAACTCAACACTAACCCATCACAACACTCTATAGTACAACCGCTACACAATACTACACTCAACATGCACCCATCACAACACTCTATAGTACAACCCCTACACAATACTAAACTCAACACTAACCCATCACAACACTCTATAGTACAACCCCTACACAATACTACACTCAACACTAACCCATCACAACACTCTATACAAACCCTACACAATACTACACTCAACACTAACCCATCACAACACTCTATACAAACCCTACAGAATACTAAACTCAACACTAACCCATCACAACACTCTATACAAACCCTACACAATACTACACTCAAGATGAACCCATCACAACACTCTATAGTACAACCCCTACACAATACTACACTCAACACTAACCCATCACAACACTCTATAGTACAACCCCTACACAGTACCAAACGCAATGTAAACCTAACAGAATACTGTAATCTAAACAAACCCAGCACAGCAACTCCACCAATACATGCCAACACAAAACCCCCCTGTACAAACACAACTATTTCTACAAACAATGAAAAACTCTCAACACAAACACAACGCTATACAAATCAACACAGTTCACAATTACGGTATAAAACAGCACAAAATATCCCCCCCAACTCAAACAAAGCACAAAACTCGATACAATACCGATACAATACTCAACTCAAGCTAAACACAACATTCCATATTAACTCAACACAAGCTCTATACACACACCCCAAACACAATCACACCTCGATACAAACACAGCTATTAAATAACACAACACGCGCACAAGGCCGTGTGCTAAGACAAATCATTCGATGCAGACAATGCAACTTTCCGGCACAGGCACGCTTACGAACCCAGCAAAAAGCGAAATAAACCCAGCACAAGCGGACATAATGCAAGACTTGGCCATCACAGTGAAACCCAGCACACGCAAAGACACAAACACAACCATGTACACACACGATCATTCACACTCTCACAGAGACAACCACACACACGTACACATCTAAGCACACACACACACACAACCATGTACACAAACACGTACAACCAGGCAGACGTACACAATCGTGCATGCACAGGAAGGTTCACCCACCCACACGCACACAGGTCGAGAAGGCAGCCCACCACCACCAGCAGCACCACCACCAGCACCACCACCACCAGAAGCAGCACCACCACCACCAGCACCACCACCAGCACCACGACGCCTGCGCTGCTTACGCTGTGGCTGGAGATGCAGGGGCAGGGAGTGGAGCCACTCGCACGCGTCCACCGCTCAACAGCAAAAGCAGCAGCAGCAGAAGTTGTTACTCCTCCAGCTTGTCCACCTCGTCCTCCTGCTGCAGCTGTCCACCATCACCTGCAATCCACCCGCGCCCCGACCAGAGCAGCAGCAGCAGCAGAGTTTTTTTTGTTTGACGCCACGGGCCCAGCGGCTGTGGCAGGAACACGGCAGACGAAAGAAACTACGGCTCAGAAACCGCGACGAGGAATGTGTAGCAGTGGGGGAGGGTGGGGGGATGGCGATGAAAGTGGGTGAGTGAAGTGAGTGAGTGGGCGGTTCAACTCAGAGAGAGAGAGAGACGGAGGATCTCGATGCGGGGTTTGTTGTTGTTGTTGTACGACTTGAATCACTAAGTCCTCACGTCCATTCTCTTTCTCTGCGGTGTGGGGGTGGTGCTGCGTGAAAGGTGTGCGCTGGGGGGCGATGGGAATTACCCTCCTCCTCCTCCCCCCGCTATCAGCACCAGCGTCCACGCCTTGACGGCCTTGCGACCACGGCGCTCTGAACAACGAGTCACCCTTGTAAGCGAGCAGGTTCAACATCTGTGGCGGGGGGTAGGGGGCAGGGCAGGCAATGGGAGAGGAAATGAAATAATCACTTTTTTTTTCATACTTCTCCCGCTTTGAAACTTTTGCTGCTGCTGCCTCTGTGTGAGTGAGTGAGTGCGGAGCCAATCGCCACGTCCCCGGACCCAGCACCACCCTCGCCTGCTCCGTGCTGGCCGGAATAGACGCGCGAGTGGTGGGCCACGCTCATGCCGTCAATCATCGCGGGACACGCGGAGGAGCCACCCTCTCCGCAAGACGATGGGGAGTGGTTGCGCGCACATCCTCCACCGGCTAATCTGGAATGCACACACGTCCCTGGTGTCGTTTCTTGCTGCTGTTTGCGGCCCAGTTACAAAGAAAACAAAATTTAGGCAGTGTGCTGTTGTCGCTGCCTGTTTTCGAATACACACGACTACGCAGTCACTTCGGGGGGAAAAGGTAAACGTTAATTATTGTTGTTGTTGTGTATTGTCGCGACGCTTGTGTACCCAGGAAAGGCTCGCGAATCAGTCTTAATACTCTGGGGTTTTTTTTTTCAAGAGAGTCCCTGCTCTAAGCTGTCGCAATGGGTGTGCAATGTCGCTTCCTCCGGAGTACTGTAGGGCCATCCCAATTGAGTGATGTTGCAGGTGCGTGCTTTTCGAACTTTGGGGGATGTTTTGGCCAATAAAAGTTACATTGCGAGTCAGTGTTAAGCACGGTCAGCGCTACGAACCCGGCGACCCGAGTTCCATTCCCGCTCACGGCCACCAACACCATGCAGTGACGATCGTCTGCATCGATTCTGGGCCTCCTCTAGGTCGACTCGGCGTCAAACGAGTACCTGGTGCGATGTGTAAACGTCGCCACTGGCGAGACGTGTGTCGTGCCGGCTTTCATAGGTGCTGCTCACTAACGGCACTTTCCCCAACAATTTATTACGGCTATACGGGAGAGCTTTATCTTTGTATGTATGTATATTGTATATGCGTGTGCTTATTATTTGTATATATGTTGCACTTAATTTTGCACCGTACGTAGCCAACCGCGCCAATAGGAGGTGCAGGGGAAGAACAACAAACTACAGACAAACACGAAGTTCTAAAGAAAAGAGTTTATCAAGCTAGATGATGAGTTGACGAATGAGGCTTTCAATGTAGATCATTTAAAAGTGCATGGCTCCAGTGGCCTCCTAATATCGGAAGGAAGAGCGTTCCAGACGGCCGCAGAAGCGCTTCTGAAAGCGCCGCGCGATGATGATGCAGTGACCGCCGTGATGATGAGCGGAGTTGGCGTGGTGGTGGTTGATGTTGAGCATGGAGAACCCCCGTGCAGAACAGGGGGAGGACACGACAAACTGTACCACAGTTACTGAAGAAGAAAACAAATCCTGGTGAAAGACAATCCCATCCTGGCCGATGTCACGACACGATAACTTTGTCTAAGAGCGCAAGAATGTCGAAACCGATCCAGAGTTTACAAAAATATATATCTTGACAAGATACTTCTTCATCATACAGTGCAATGCCGTATAGGAGTATAAAGTCAAGATGCCGATGGGACAAAAGGCGGCGTCCTTTTGTATGTGGAGAACAGAATGGAGTTCCGTTTATTAATCTGATCATCAGAATATGTCTTTATACTGGAGGAATCCGATTAGCTGTACCTGGCCACCCATCCCCTCGTGTGCCGTGGCGGTCTTCATAGATGCTACTCGCCAACAGCACTCGCCCCAACAGTCTGTTACAGGCTACACGGGGGATCTTTATCTTTGTTTAACATCGTCAAACTAGTGAGAGTTGGCGACGGCTGAAGGAGGCCTTCATCCAGCTGTGGACTGATCAAGCTTGACGATGACGACAGTAACAATGTACACGTACAGCCCGTAATTCTGATAACCCATTGCAAAGGTACGCTGTGCGTATCCCCTGCCACGTGCAGCAGTTGCTTCAGCTACACAATATCGAGGTTGACAAACCTTGTTCACGCCTGTACCAACGCCATATAAGAATAGTAGAAATTCCCACCGTGCACACATTTTCCCCCGCAAGGCCGATGACCGACCCTTCCGTCTTGGTTTGGACACGTTTGTTTGGTTGTAGTACGGAGTTAGACTGATGGCCTTAATCTAAGTTGTCTTGTGGTTGTTGTTGTTGTTGAACAGGGGGATTTAAAGCTTTCGTGACTGCAGGGATTCATATTCTTAGTTCTTTCTGTAAAGTCACGTAGAAGGGGAACAATATTGTTTTCTAATTTTTATTATTTTATTGATTCCCTTCTACGTGACTTTACCGAAAGAACCAAGAATATGTTGTTGTTGTTTGACTTGCAACCCACTGGGATTTTTTTTGCACACAGCGTTGGTGTAGCGTGCTTTTTTCAGGAATATTTTGCCGTGTTTTTTTCATGGATTTTCTGTTTGCACAGTCACACAAAGTCACTTTAAGATTCGTTTTCTTGTTCGTGTTTTTGTTTTTTTGTTTGTTGTGGTTGCACCCGATTCAAGAGCCGAATGGCTCACAGGGCTATACCAAAATGAATAAACTGATAACTGAAATCTGAACCAGTGCAGAAAACGTTGAACACGATCGTCGAATTTCCCACAGCCACATCCGCGACATTTCTGTGCGGGCACCCAGAGAAAGTCCTCCACTCCGTCGGCGCGTTAGACGTCAACGGTCCACACGGATCGTGGAAAGTGGCACCGCAAGGGGAACTCCACGTGGGTGTGTGTCACTCTGTGTGTGTGTGTCACTGTGTGGGTGTGTCACTGTGTGTGGGTGTCACTGTGTGTGGCCTGGCACAAGCGTCGTGGTGACGTCACCGCCACTTAGTGGCGAATGGCGGTTGTTGTGTGTCACTGTGTGTGTGTTAGTGGGTGTGTGTTAGTGGGTGTGTGTGTTAGTGGGTGTGTGTGTTAGTGGGTGTGTGTGTTAGTGGGTGTGTGTGTTAGTGGGTGTGTGTGTGTTAGTGGGTGTGTGTGTTAGTGGGTGTGTGTGTTAGTGGGTGTGTGTGTTAGTGGGTGTGTGTGTTAGTGGGTGTGTGTGTTAGTGGGTGTGTGTGTTAGTGGATGTGTGTGTTAGTGGGTGTGTGTGTTAGTGGGTGTGTGTGTTAGTGGGTGTGTGTGTTAGTGGGTGTGTGTGTTAGTGGGTGTGTGTGTTAGTGGGTGTGTGTGTTAGTGGGTGTGTGTGTTAGTGGGTGTGTGTGTTAGTGGGTGTGTGTGTTAGTGGGTGTGTGTGTTAGTGGGTGTGTGTGTTAGTGGGTGTGTGTGTTAGTGGGTGTGTGTGTTAGTGGGTGTGTGTGTTAGTGGGTGTGTGTGTGTGTTCTGAGTCATGCAGCTGGCGGTGGGTTGGGCACGGTGGGGTGTGATAGCGAATCCCCAAAATGGCACACAAGCTGTGTGTGTGCTGCTGCTGATACTTTACCCGACAGGTTAAAAAAATATTGAAAAAAAGTTTCCTTCACGTGAGGTTGTGGGCACATTTTTCCGTAAAAATACAACCGGCTCCCACACACACGCGTACTGTAGCCACAGTCATCTATTGCAATAACATTGACAGTCTGAGTGTAATGTAAAGTTCTAAACACAAAAGGCTGGTAGTGATGGTAGCGGGGGTGGTGGTGGTAATGATGATAATATGATTTACAAGTTCGTAAATCGGAGGATTGCGTGGTGTGGGGCAAAGTGTGGGTAACTCCCACCCCTTGCAAGATGTTTGGCCCGGTGTGGAAGAGTAGGCCGAATATCATCTCGAGGGCCTTTAGACGAGAACAGCTCCCTCGAGCGGATGATCCTTGGTCAGCAGTGGCGTGAGAAATTTCAGGATCGTAACTTGACCACCACCTTACACAGATATATTATTATCGTGACGTTTATTATGATAATGATGAATGTCATAGGATCTACCCTATAATAGTAATATAGTGAAGTTGGTTATGATGGTTGTAGGATTGGTAACAGTAATATAATTCGCGACGTATGAGAAATACGGAGTTTGAATCAGCATTGACTTAATATTATACCTTTAATTAGCAGTGTTTTAAGTGGTGCAGTAGTTGGCGTAACCTGGCTGCTTGAATTTGATTCCTGACCAGGACTAATCATATCGACGGGGTGATATCCGCCGCCGTGGTAAGATGTTAACTACCTCGCCTGGTACACAGGAGGTCGTGGGTCCCGACCTGACGCCTGCTCT